CTGCCTATATATCTACCTGCCTATATATCTACCTACCTATATATCTACCTACCTATATATCTACCTGCCTATATATCTACCTACCTATATATCTACCTACCTAGCTGCCTATACATCTACCTGCCTATATATCTACCTACCTATATATCTACCTACTTAGCTGCCTATACATCTACCTAGCTATATATCTACCTACCTAGCTGCCTACACATCTACCTGCCTGTATATCTACCTACCTTTACATCTACCTACCTAGCTGCCTACACATCTACCTGCCTGTATATCTACCTACCTAGCTGCCTTTACATATACCTAGCTATATATCTACCTACCTAGCTGCCTACACATCTACCTGCCTGTATATCTACCTACCTTTACATCTACCTACCTAGCTGCCTACACATCTACCTGCCTGTATATCTACCTACCTAGCTGCCTTTACATCTACCTACCTGTATATCTACCTACCTATATATCTACTTACCTAGCTGCCTATACATCTACCTGCCTATATATCTACCTACCTATATATCTACCTACCTATATATCTACCTACGTAGCAGCCTATACATCTACCTGCCTATATATCTACCTACGTAGCAGCCTATACATCTACCTGCCTGTATATCTACCTACCTATATATCTACCTACCTATATATCTACCTACGTAGCAGCCTATACATCTACCTGCCTATATATCTACCTACGTAGCAGCCTATACATCTACCTGCCTGTATATCTACCTACCTATATATCTACCTACCTATATATCTACCTACGTAGCAGCCTATACATCTACCTGCCTATATATCTACCTACGTAGCAGCCTATACATCTACCGGCCTGTATATCTACCTACCAAGCTGCCTACACATCTACTGGCCTGTATATCTACCTACCTATATATCTACCTACCTAGCTGCCTGCACATCTACCTGCCTGTATATCTACCTACCTTTATATCTACCTACCTAGCTGCCTACACATCTACCTACCTATATATCTACCTACCTAGCTGCCTACACATCTACCTGCCTGTATATCTACCTACCTAGCTGCCTATACATCTACCTGCCTATATATCTACCTACCTATATATCTACCTACCTACCTAGCTGCCTATACATCTACCTGCCTATATATCTACCTACCTAGCTGCCTACCTACCTAGCTGCCTACACATCTACCTACCTAGCTGCCTATACATCTACCTGCCTATATATCTACCTACCTAGCAGCCTATACATCTACCTGCCTATATATCTACCTACCTATATATCTACCTACGTAGCAGCCTATACATCTACCTGCCTATATATCTACCTACCTAGCTGCCTATACATCTACCTGCCTATATATCTACCTACCTATATATCTACCTACGTAGCAGCCTATACATCTACCTGCCTGTATATCTACCTACCTAGCTGCCTATACATCTACCTGCCTATATATCTACCTACCTATATATCTACCTACGTAGCAGCCTATACATCTACCTGCCTGTATATCTACCTACCTAGCTGCCTATACATCTACCTGCCTATATATCTACCTACCTATATATCTACCTACCTATATATCTACCTACGTAGCAGCCTATACATCTACCTGCCTGTATATCTACCTACCTAGCTGCCTATACATCTACCTGCCTATATATCTACCTACCTATATATCTACCTACCTATATATCTTCCTACCTAGCTGCCTACACATCTACCTGCCTATATATCTACCTACCTAGCTGCCTATACATCTACCTGCCTATATATCTACCTACCTAGCAGCCTATACATCTACCTGCCTATATATCTACCTGCCTATATATCTACCTACCTAGCAGCCTATACATCTACCTGCCTATATATCTACCTACCTTTACATCTACCTACCTAGCAGCCTATACATCTACCTGCCTGTATATCTACCTACCTAGCTGCCTATACATCTACCTGCCTATATATCTACCTGCCTATATATCTACCTACCTAGCAGCCTATACATCTACCTGCCTATATATCTACCTACCTTTACATCTACCTACCTAGCAGCCTATACATCTACCTGCCTGTATATCTACCTACCTAGCAGCCTATACATCTACCTGCCTGTATATCTACCTACCTAGCTGCCTATACATCTACCTGCCTATATATCTACCTACCTTTACATCTACCTACCTAGCAGCCTATACATCTACCTGCCTGTATATCTACCTACCTAGCTGCCTATACATCTACCTGCCTGTATATCTACCTACCTAGCTGCCTATACATCTACCTGCCTATATATCTACCTACCTTTACATCTACCTGCCTAGCTGCCTACACATCTACCTGCCTGTATATCTACCTACCTACCTACCTATATATCTACCTACCTATATATCTACCTGCCTATATATCTACCTGCCTATATATCTACCTACCTATATATCTACCTACCTATATATCTACCTGCCTATATATCTACCTACCTATATATCTACCTACCTAGCTGCCTATACATCTACCTGCCTATATATCTACCTACCTATATATCTACCTACTTAGCTGCCTATACATCTACCTAGCTATATATCTACCTACCTAGCTGCCTACACATCTACCTGCCTGTATATCTACCTACCTTTACATCTACCTACCTAGCTGCCTACACATCTACCTGCCTGTATATCTACCTACCTAGCTGCCTTTACATATACCTAGCTATATATCTACCTACCTAGCTGCCTACACATCTACCTGCCTGTATATCTACCTACCTTTACATCTACCTACCTAGCTGCCTACACATCTACCTGCCTGTATATCTACCTACCTAGCTGCCTTTACATCTACCTACCTGTATATCTACCTACCTATATATCTACTTACCTAGCTGCCTATACATCTACCTGCCTATATATCTACCTACCTATATATCTACCTACCTATATATCTACCTACGTAGCAGCCTATACATCTACCTGCCTATATATCTACCTACGTAGCAGCCTATACATCTACCTGCCTGTATATCTACCTACCTATATATCTACCTACCTATATATCTACCTACGTAGCAGCCTATACATCTACCTGCCTATATATCTACCTACGTAGCAGCCTATACATCTACCTGCCTGTATATCTACCTACCTATATATCTACCTACCTATATATCTACCTACGTAGCAGCCTATACATCTACCTGCCTATATATCTACCTACGTAGCAGCCTATACATCTACCGGCCTGTATATCTACCTACCAAGCTGCCTACACATCTACTGGCCTGTATATCTACCTACCTATATATCTACCTACCTAGCTGCCTGCACATCTACCTGCCTGTATATCTACCTACCTTTATATCTACCTACCTAGCTGCCTACACATCTACCTACCTATATATCTACCTACCTAGCTGCCTACACATCTACCTGCCTGTATATCTACCTACCTAGCTGCCTATACATCTACCTGCCTATATATCTACCTACCTATATATCTACCTACCTACCTAGCTGCCTATACATCTACCTGCCTATATATCTACCTACCTAGCTGCCTACCTACCTAGCTGCCTACACATCTACCTACCTAGCTGCCTATACATCTACCTGCCTATATATCTACCTACCTAGCAGCCTATACATCTACCTGCCTATATATCTACCTACCTATATATCTACCTACGTAGCAGCCTATACATCTACCTGCCTATATATCTACCTACCTAGCTGCCTATACATCTACCTGCCTATATATCTACCTACCTATATATCTACCTACGTAGCAGCCTATACATCTACCTGCCTGTATATCTACCTACCTAGCTGCCTATACATCTACCTGCCTATATATCTACCTACCTATATATCTACCTACGTAGCAGCCTATACATCTACCTGCCTGTATATCTACCTACCTAGCTGCCTATACATCTACCTGCCTATATATCTACCTACCTATATATCTACCTACCTATATATCTACCTACGTAGCAGCCTATACATCTACCTGCCTGTATATCTACCTACCTAGCTGCCTATACATCTACCTGCCTATATATCTACCTACCTATATATCTACCTACCTATATATCTTCCTACCTAGCTGCCTACACATCTACCTGCCTATATATCTACCTACCTAGCTGCCTATACATCTACCTGCCTATATATCTACCTACCTAGCAGCCTATACATCTACCTGCCTATATATCTACCTGCCTATATATCTACCTACCTAGCAGCCTATACATCTACCTGCCTATATATCTACCTACCTTTACATCTACCTACCTAGCAGCCTATACATCTACCTGCCTGTATATCTACCTACCTAGCTGCCTATACATCTACCTGCCTATATATCTACCTGCCTATATATCTACCTACCTAGCAGCCTATACATCTACCTGCCTATATATCTACCTACCTTTACATCTACCTACCTAGCAGCCTATACATCTACCTGCCTGTATATCTACCTACCTAGCAGCCTATACATCTACCTGCCTGTATATCTACCTACCTAGCTGCCTATACATCTACCTGCCTATATATCTACCTACCTTTACATCTACCTACCTAGCAGCCTATACATCTACCTGCCTGTATATCTACCTACCTAGCTGCCTATACATCTACCTGCCTGTATATCTACCTACCTAGCTGCCTATACATCTACCTGCCTATATATCTACCTACCTTTACATCTACCTGCCTAGCAGTCTATACATATACCTAGCTATATATCTACCTACCTAGCTGCCTACACATCTACCTGCCTGTATATCTACCTACCTATAAATCTACCTACCTATCTGCCTATGTGCAAGCTTCCCACCCCCTCCCCACCCACCCCCTCCCCACCCACCAACTCCCCACCCACCAACTTCCTACCTACGTACCTATCTGCCTATGTACAACCCTACCATCCATCTGACTCTCCCTGTAACTCCAGGTAAGAAGCAAGGTCAGAATGGTCAGTTTTCACTACTGTTTCAGATTACGCAACCACATGAAGAAGGTTGAGTTCACCTGTCGCATCGTGCACAGTCTCCCTTTGCTCATGTCTGCTGTTCAGATCTACTACCATGACAAGATGGCTGCTGTGGCTCACCTCGTGGGGCCGGACCAGATTCCCAGACCGGAACAAGTAGGCAACTAGTTTGGTCAGATGATCTTAGGACACAAGTAGGCAAATAATTTAGTCGTGTTCTAAGGACACAAGTAGGCAACTAATTTAGTCAGGTGATTTAAGGACACAAGTAGGCAACTAGTTTAGTCAGGTGATTTAAGGACACAAGTACGCAACTAATTTAGTCAGGTGATCTTAGGACACAAGAAGGCAACTAATTTAGTCAGGTGATTTAAGGACACTAGTAGGCAACTAATTGAGTCAGGTGATTTAAGGACACAAGTAGGCAACTAATTAAGTCAGGTGTTTTAAGTACACAAGTAGGCAACTAATTTAGTCAGGTGATTTAAGGACACTAGTAGGCAACTAATTTAGTCAGGTGATTTAAGGACACAAGTAGGCAACTAATTTAGTCAGTTGATTTAAGGACACAAGTAGGCAACTAATTTAGTCAGGTGATTTAAGGACACAAGTAGGCAACTAATTTAGTCAGGTGATCTTAGGACACAAGAAGACAACTAATTTAGTCAGGTGATTAAAGGACACAAGAAGGCAACTAATTTAGTCAGGTGATCTTAGGACACAAGAAGGCAACTAATTTAGTCAGGTGATTTAAGGACACAGGTAGGCAACTAATTTAGTCAGGTGATTTAAGGACACAAGTAGGCAACTAATTAAGTCAGGTGTTTTAAGTACACAAGTAGGCAACTTATTTAGTCAGGTGATTTAAGGACACTAGTAGGCAACTAATTTAGTCAGGTGATTTAAGGACGCAAGTAGGCAACTAATTTAGTCAGGTGATCTTAGGACACAGGTAGGCATTTAATTTAGTCGTGTTCTTAGGACACAAGTAGGCAACTAGTTTCGTCAGGTGATTTAAGGACACAAGTAGGCAACTAATTTAGTCGTGTTCTAAGGACACAAGTAGGCAACTAATTTAGTCAGGTGATTTAAGGACACAAGAAGCCAACTAATTTAGTCTGGTGATTTAAGGACACAAGTAGGCAACTAATTTAGTCAGGTGATTTAAGGACACAAGAAGGCAACTAATTTAGTCAGGTGATTTAAGGTCATAAGAAGGCATCTAGTTTAGTCAGGTGATTTAAGGACACAAGTGGGCAACTAATTTAGTCAGGTGATTTAAGGACACAAGAAGGCAACTAATTTAGTCAGGTGATTTAAGGACACAAGTAGGCAACTAATTTAGTCAGGTGATTTAAGGACACAAGAAGGCATCTAGTTAAGTCAGGTGATTTAAGGACACAAGTAGGCAACTAATTTAGTCAGGTGATTTAAGGACACAAGTAGGCAACTAATTTAGTCAGGTGATTTAAGGACACAAGTAGGCAACTAATTTAGGCAGGTGATTTAAGGACACAAGAAGGCATCTAGTTTAGTCAGGTGATTTAAGGACACAAGTAGGCAACTAATTTAGTCAGGTGATTTAAGGACACAAGTAGGCAACTAATTTAGTCAGGTGATTTAAGGACACAAGTAGGCAACTAATTTAGTCAGGTGATCTTAGGACACAAGAAGACAACTAATTTAGTCAGGTGATTAAAGGACACAAGAAGGCAACTAATTTAGTCAGGTGATCTTAGGACACAAGAAGGCAACTAATTTAGTCAGGTGATTTAAGGACACAGGTAGGCAACTAATTTAGTCAGGTGATTTAAGGACACAAGTAGGCAACTAATTAAGTCAGGTGTTTTAAGTACACAAGTAGGCAACTTATTTAGTCAGGTGATTTAAGGACACTAGTAGGCAACTAATTTAGTCAGGTGATTTAAGGACGCAAGTAGGCAACTAATTTAGTCAGGTGATCTTAGGACACAGGTAGGCATTTAATTTAGTCGTGTTCTTAGGACACAAGTAGGCAACTAGTTTCGTCAGGTGATTTAAGGACACAAGTAGGCAACTAATTTAGTCGTGTTCTAAGGACACAAGTAGGCAACTAATTTAGTCAGGTGATTTAAGGACACAAGAAGCCAACTAATTTAGTCTGGTGATTTAAGGACACAAGTAGGCAACTAATTTACTCAGGTGATTTAAGGACACTAGTAGGCAACTAATTTAGTCAGGTGATTTAAGGACACAAGAAGGCAACTAATTTAGTCAGTTGATTTAAGGACACAGGTAGGCAACTAATTTAGTCAGGTGATTTAAGGACACAAGTAGGCAACTAATTAAGTCAGGTGATTTAAGGACACAAGTAGGCAACTAATTTAGTCAGGTGATTTAAGGACACAAGTAGGCAACTAATTTAGTCAGGTGATTTAAGGACACAAGTAGGCAACTAATTAAGTCAGGTGTTTTAAGTACACAAGTAGGCAACTAATTTAGTCAGTTGATTTAAGGACACTAGTAGGCAACTAATTTAGTCAGGTGATTTAAGGACACAAGTAGGCAACTAATTTTGTCAGGTGATCTTAGGACACAGGTAGGCATTTAATTTAGTCGTGTTCTTAGGACACAAGTAGGCAACTAGTTTAGTCAGGTGATTGAAGGACACAAGTAGGCAACTAATTTAGTCGTGTTCTAAGGACACAAGTAGGCAACTAATTTAGTCAGGTGATTTAAGGACACAAGAAGGCAACTAATTTAGTCTGGTGATTTAAGGACACAAGTAGGCAACTAATTTAGTCAGGAGATTTAAGGACACAAGAAGGCAACTAATTTAGTCAGGTGATTTAAGGACACAAGAAGGCATCTAGTTTAGTCAGGTGATTTAAGGACACAAGTAGGCAACTGATTTAGTCAGGTGATTTAAGGACACAAGTAGGCAACTAATTTAGTCAGGTGATTTAAGGACACAAGTAGGCAACTAATTTAGTCAGGTGATTTAAGGACACAAGAAGGCAACTAATTTAGTCAGGTGATTTAAGGACACAAGTAGGCAACTAATTAAGTCAGGTGATTTAAGGACACAAGTGGGCAACTAATTTAGTCAGGTGATTTAAGGACACAAATAGGCAACTAATTTAGTCAGGTGATTTAAGGACAGAAGTAGGCAACTAGTTTAGTCAGGTGATTTAAGGACACAAGAAGGCATCTAGTTTAGTCAGGTGATTTAAGGACACAAATAGGCAACTGATTTAGTCAGGTGATTTAAGGACACAAGTAGGCAACTAATTTAGTCAGGTGATTTAAGGACACAAGAAGGCATCTAGTTTAGTCAGGTGATTTAAGGACACAAGTAGGCAACTAATTTAGTCAGGTGATTTAAGGACACAAGTAGGCAACTAATTTAGTCAGGTGATCTTAGGACACAGGTAGGCATTTAATTTAGTCGTGTTCTTAGGACACAAGTAGGCAACTAGTTTCGTCAGGTGATTTAAGGACACAAGTAGGCAACTAATTTAGTCGTGTTCTAAGGACACAAGTAGGCAACTAATTTAGTCAGGTGATTTAAGGACACAAGAAGCCAACTAATTTAGTCAGGTGATTTAAGGACACAAGATGGGAACTAATTTAGTCAGGTGATTTAAGGACACAAGAAGGCATCTAGTTTAGTCAGGTGATTTAAGGACACCAGATGGGAACTAATTTAGTCAGGTGATTTAAGGACACAAGAAGGCATCTAGTTTAGTCAGGTGATTTAAGGACACAAGTAGGCAACTAATTTAGTCAGGTGATTTAAGGACACAAGTAGGCAACTAATTTAGTCAGGTGATTTAAGGACACAAGTAGGCAACTAATTTAGTCAGGTGATTTAAGGACACAAGAAGGCAACTAATTAAGTCGGGTGATTTAAGGACACAAGTAGGCAACTAATTAAGTCAGGTGATTTAAGGACACAAGTAGGCAACTAATTTAGTCAGGTGATTTAAGGACACAAATAGGCAACTAATTTAGTCAGGTGATTTAAGGACAGAAGTAGGCAACTAGTTTAGTCAGGTGATTTAAGGACACAAGAAGGCATCTAGTTTAGTCAGGTGATTTAAGGACACAAGTAGGCAACTGATTTAGTCAGGTGATTTGAGAACACAAGTAGTCAACTAATTAAGTCAGGTGATTTAAGGACACAAGAAGGCAACTAATTTAGTCAGGTGATTTAAGGACACAAGTAGGCAACTAATTTAGTCAGGTGATTTAAGGACACAAGTAGGCAACTAATTAAGTCAGGTGATTTAAGGACACAAGTAGGCAACTAATTAAGTCAGGTGATTTAAGGACACAAGTAGGCAACTAATTAAGTCAGGTGATTTAAGGACACAAGTGGGCAACTAATTTAGTCAGGTGATTTAAGGACACAAATAGGCAACTAATTTAGTCAGGTGATTTAAGGACAGAAGTAGGCAACTAGTTTAGTCAGGTGATTTAAGGACACAAGAAGGCATCTAGTTTAGTCAGGTGATTTAAGGACACAAATAGGCAACTGATTTAGTCAGGTGATTTAAGGACACAAGTAGGCAACTAATTTAGTCAGGTGATTTAAGGACACAAGAAGGCATCTAGTTTAGTCAGGTGATTTAAGGACACAAGTAGGCAACTAATTTAGTCAGGTGATTTAAGGACACAAGTAGGCAACTAATTTAGTCAGGTGATCTTAGGACACAGGTAGGCATTTAATTTAGTCGTGTTCTTAGGACACAAGTAGGCAACTAGTTTCGTCAGGTGATTTAAGGACACAAGTAGGCAACTAATTTAGTCGTGTTCTAAGGACACAAGTAGGCAACTAATTTAGTCAGGTGATTTAAGGACACAAGAAGCCAACTAATTTAGTCAGGTGATTTAAGGACACAAGATGGGAACTAATTTAGTCAGGTGATTTAAGGACACAAGAAGGCATCTAGTTTAGTCAGGTGATTTAAGGACACCAGATGGGAACTAATTTAGTCAGGTGATTTAAGGACACAAGAAGGCATCTAGTTTAGTCAGGTGATTTAAGGACACAAGTAGGCAACTAATTTAGTCAGGTGATTTAAGGACACAAGTAGGCAACTAATTTAGTCAGGTGATTTAAGGACACAAGTAGGCAACTAATTTAGTCAGGTGATTTAAGGACACAAGAAGGCAACTAATTAAGTCGGGTGATTTAAGGACACAAGTAGGCAACTAATTAAGTCAGGTGATTTAAGGACACAAGTAGGCAACTAATTTAGTCAGGTGATTTAAGGACACAAATAGGCAACTAATTTAGTCAGGTGATTTAAGGACAGAAGTAGGCAACTAGTTTAGTCAGGTGATTTAAGGACACAAGAAGGCATCTAGTTTAGTCAGGTGATTTAAGGACACAAGTAGGCAACTGATTTAGTCAGGTGATTTGAGAACACAAGTAGTCAACTAATTAAGTCAGGTGATTTAAGGACACAAGAAGGCAACTAATTTAGTCAGGTGATTTAAGGACACAAGTAGGCAACTAATTTAGTCAGGTGATTTAAGGACACAAGTAGGCAACTAATTAAGTCAGGTGATTTAAGGACACAAGTAGGCAACTAATTAAGTCAGGTGATTTAAGGACACAAGTAGGCAACTAATTAAGTCAGTTGTTTTAAGGACACAAGTAGGCAACTAATTTAGTCAGGTGATTTAAGGACACAAGTAGGCAACTAATTTAGTCAGGTGATTTAAGGACACAAGTAGGCAACTAATTTAGTCAGGTGATCTTAGGACACAGGTAGGCATTTAATTTAGTCGTGTTCTTAGGACACAAGTAGGCAACTAGTTTAGTCAGGTGATTTAAGGACACAAGAATGCATCTAGTTTAGTCAGGTGTTCTAAGAACACAAGTAGTCAACTAATTTAGTCAGGTGATTTAAGAACACAAGTAGTCAACTAATTTAGTCAGGTGATTTAAGGACACAAGTAGGCAAGTAGTTTAGTCAGATGATCTTAGGACACAAGTAGGCAAATAATTTAGTCGTGTTCTAAGGACACAAGTAGGCAATCAATTTAGTCAGGTGATTTAAGGACACAAGTAGGCAACTAGTTTAGTCAGGTGATTTAAGGACACAAGAAGGCATCTAGCTTAGTCAGGTTGTCTGACTTCCTCCAGACCTGAAGAAGTAATGTGTTCTGGACACTACTAGTTGTTTTAACTGTGTTTGATATATGTTCAGTCCACCAAAGGAACAAACAGATTTTGACTTTCTTGTGTAACGTATACGTGACTACACCATGACATGTGTAACGTAGTATACGTGACTACACCATGACATGTGTAAGCGAGTCTTGTGTAACGTATACGTGACTACACCATGACATGTGTAAGTGAGTCTTGTGTAACGTATACGTGACTACACCATGACACGTGTAAGCGAGTCTGGTGTAACGTATACGTGACTACACCATGACATGTGTAACGTAGTATACGTGACTACACCATGACATGTGTAACGTAGTATACGTGACTACACCATGACATGTGTAAGCGAGTCTGGTGTAACGTATACGTGACTACACCATGACATGTGTAAGCGAGTCTGGTGTAACGTATACGTGACTACACCATGACATGTGTAACGTAGTATACGTGACTACACCATGACATGTGTAAGCGAGTCTGGTGTAACGTATACGTGACTACACCATGACATGTGTAAGCGAGTCTGGTGTAACATATACGTGACTACACCATGACATGTGTAACGTATACGTGACTACACCATGGCGTGTGTAAGCGAGTCTGGTGTAACGTATATGTGACTACACCATGACATGTGTAACGTATACGTGACTACACCATGACATGTGTAAGCGAGTCTGGTGTAACGTATACGTGACTACACCATGACATGTGTAAGCGAGTCTGGTGTAACGTATACGTGACTACACCATGACATGTGTAACGTATACGTGACTACACCATGACATGTGTAAGGTATACGTGACTACACCATGACATGTGTAAGCGAGTCTGGTGAAACGTATACGTGACTACACCATGGCATGTGTAAGCGAGTCTGGTGTAACGTATACGTGACTACACCATGACATGTGTAACGTATACGTGACTACACCATGACATGTGTAAGCGAGTCTGGTGTAACGTATACGTGACTACACCATGACATGTGTAAGCGAGTCTGGTGTAACGTATACGTGACTACACCATGACATGTGTAAGCGAGTCTGGTGTAACGTATACGTGACTACACCATGACATGTGTAAGCGAGTCTGGTGTAACGTATACGTGACCACACCATGACATGTGTAACGTATACGTGACTACACCATGACATGTGTAAGGTATACGTGACTACACCATGACATGTGTAAGCGAGTCTGGGGTAACGTATACGTGACTACACCATGGCATGTGTAAGCGAGTCTGGTGTAACGTATACGTGACTACACCATGGCATGTGTAAGCAAGTCTGGTGTAACGTATTGGTGACTACACCATGACATGTGTAACGTATACGTGACTACACCATGACATGTGTAACGTAGTATACGTGACTACACCATGACATGTGTAAGCGAGTCTGGTGTAACGTATACGTGACTACACCATGACATGTGTAACGTATACGTGACTACACCATGACATGTGTAACGTATACGTGACTACACCATGACATGTGTAAGCGAGTCTGGTGTAACGTATACGTGACTACACCATGACATGTGTAACGTATACGTGACTTCACCATGACATGTGTAACGTATACATGACTACACCATGACATGTGTAAGCGAGTCTGGTGAAACGTATACGTGACTACACCATGACATGTGTAAGCGAGTCTGGTGTAACGTATACGTGACTACACCATGACATGTGTAAGCTAGTCTGGTGTAACGTATACGTGACTACACCATGACATGTGTAAGCTAGTCTGGTGTTACGTATACGTGACTACACCATGACATGTGTAAGCGAGTCTGGTGTAACGTATACGTGACTACACCATGATATGTGTAACGTATACATGACTACACCATGGCATGTGTAAGCGAGTCTGGTGTAACGTATACGTGACTACACCATGACATGTGTAAGCGAGTCTGGTGTAACGTATACGTGACCACACCATGACATGTGTAACGTATACGTGACTACACCATGACATGTGTAAGGTATACGTGACTACACCATGACATGTGTAAGCGAGTCTGGGGTAACGTATACGTGACTACACCATGGCATGTGTAAGCGAGTCTGGTGTAACGTATACGTGACTACACCATGTCATGTGTAAGCGAGTCTGGTGTAACGTATTGGTGACTACACCATGACATGTGTAACGTATACGTGACTACACCATGACATGTGTAACGTAGTATACGTGACTACACCATGACATGTGTAAGCGAGTCTGGTGTAACGTATACGTGACTACACCATGATATGTGTAATGTATACGTGACTACACCATGACATGTGTAACGTATACGTGACTACACCATGACATGTGTAAGCGAGTCTGGTGTAACGTATACGTGACTACACCATGACATGTGTAACGTATACGTGACTACACCATGACATGTGTAACGTATACATGACTACACCATGACATGTGTAAGCGAGTCTGGTGAAACGTATACGTGACTACACCATGACATGTGTAAGCGAGTCTGGTGTAACGTATACGTGACTACACCATGACATGTGTAAGCGAGTCTGGTGTAACGTATACGTGACTACACCATGACATGTGTAAGCTAGTCTGGTGTAACGTATACGTGACCACACCATGACATGTGTAACGTATACGTGACTACACCATGACATGTGTAAGGTATACGTGACTACACCATGACATGTGTAAGCGAGTCTGGTGAAACGTATACGTGACTACACCATGGCATGTGTAAGCGAGTCTGGTGTAACGTATACGTGACTACACCATGACATGTGTAAGGTATACGTGACTACACCATGACATGTGTAAGCGAGTCTGGTGTAACGTATACGTGACTACACCATGACATGTGTAAGCGAGTCTGGTGTAACGTATACGTGACTACACCATGACATGTGTAAGCGAGTCTGCTGAAAGGTGAGACATCAAGACATAATGTTCAAATCTTGATTTGCAGGTGTCGAACACTTCAAGGTGTGTGACTCTTGACCCCCGCAAGGGTGAGAGAGCAGTCCTCATCAAGACTCACAATGGTGACTGGGGTGTTGTCCGTGGACAATGGCTTGGTGTTCGTAGAGGAATACCAGGGGTCAAAGGTCAGTTGTAAATCAGAGAAACAAATATTGACTCTTGGATGTCGATTGATGCTGCTTTAGTTTTCGTTGTGGATCCTAATGGTCAGGTTTAAAGTGTGAATTAAAGGTTCACAAAAATGTCTGCTGGTAAGATTTGGTGTTCACTGCACAACTCATGCCATGAAGTATCAACATTGTGCTGTGCAGTAACACATAGGTGGTTGTCAGAGGTACGTCCATTAGACAACACCATCGCCATCGCACGGCTGAAGTACAGTTGTGTTGGGTCAGACAACATGCGTATATTTCTGTGCAGATTGTGTGTGGTGTGTACTGCCAGTAGTGTAGAATATATGCTGCCAGTAGTGTAGAGCATATGCTGCCAGTAGTGTAGAACAAATGCTGCCAGTAGTGTAGAGCATATCCTGCCAGTAGTGTAGAGCATATCCTGCCAGTAGTGTAGAACATATGCTGCCAGTAGTGTAGAACATATCCTGCCAGTAGTGTAGAGCATATCCTGCCAGTAGTGTAGAGCATATGCTGCCAGTAGTGTAGAGCATATGCTGCCAGTAGTGTAGAGCATATGCTGCCAGTAGTGTAGAGCATATGCTGCCAGTAGTGTAGAGCATATGCTGCCAGTAGTGTAGAACACATGCTGCCAGTAGTGTAGAACATATACTGCCAGTAGTGTAGAGCATATGCTGCCAGTAGTGTAGAGCATATGCTGCCAGTAGTGTAGAACATATGCTGCCAGTAGTGTAGAACATATGCTGCCAGTAGTGTAGAACATATGCTGCCAGTAGTGTAGAGCATATCCTGCCAGTAGTGTAGAACATATGCTGCCATTAGTGTAAGAGCATATGCTGCCAGTAGTGTAGAGCATATGCTGCCAGTAGTGTAGAGCATATGCTGCCAGTAGTGTAGAACATATGCTGCCAGTAGTGTAGAACATATCCTGCCAGTAGTGTAGAGCATATCCTGCCAGTAGTGTAGAGCATATGCTGCCAGTAGTGTAGAACATATGCTGCCAGTAGTGTAGAGCATATCCTGCCAGTAGTGTAGAGCATATGCTGCCAGTAGTGTAGAGCATATGCTGCCAGTAGTGTAGAACATATGCTGCCAGTAGTGTAGAACATATGCTGCCAGTAGTGTAGAGCATATGCTGCCAGTAGTGTAGAGCATATGCTGCCAGTAGTGTAGAACATATGCTGCCAGTAGTGTAGAACATATCCTGCCAGTAGTGTAGAACATATGCTGCCAGTAGTGTAGAGCATATGCTGCCAGTAGTGTAGAACATATCCTGCCAGTAGTGTAGAGCATATCCTGCCAGTAGTGTAGAGCATATGCTGCCAGTAGTGTAGAGCATATGCTGCCAGTAGTGTAGAACATATACTGCCATTAGTGTAGAGCATATACTGCCATTAGTGTAGAGCATATACTGCCAGTAGTGTAGAATATATGCTGCCAGTAGTGTAGAACACATGCTGCCAGTAGTGTAGAACATATGCTGCCAGTAGTGTAGAACATATGCTGCCAGTAGTGTAGAACATATGCTGCCAGTAGTGTAGAACATATGCTGCCAGTAGTGTAGAACATATGCTGCCAGTAGTGTAGAATATATGCTGCCAGTAGTGTAGAACATATGCTGCTAGTAGTGTAGAATATATGCTGCCAGTAGTGTAGAACATATGCTTCCAGTAGTGTAGCCTTTTCATGAACGCTTGTGTCATACCCAGATATATACACTGTAACAAGACACATGTAGTATACACAGACACAGACACTAGTCTTGTATCACAGCCAGATATATACACTGTAACAAGACACACGAGATATACACAGACACAGACACTTGTGTCACACCCAGATATATACACTGTAACTAGACACATGTGATATACACAGACACAGATACTTGTATCACACCCAGATATATACACTGTAATTATAACTAGACACATGTGATATACACAGACACTTGTATTACGACCAGATATATACACTGTAACAAGACATGTGATATACAATGACACAGAACGACACTTGTATCACACCCAGATATATACACTGAAACAAGACACATGTGATATACACTGACACAGACACTTGTATCACACCCAGATATATACACTGAAACAAGACACATGTGATATACACTGACACAGACACTTGTATCACACCCAGATATATACACTGTAACAAGACACACGTGATATACACAGACACAGACACTTGTATCACACCCAGATATATACATTGTAACAAGACACACGTGATATACACAGACACTTGAATCACATCCAGATATATACACTGTAACAAGACACATTTGATATACACAGACACAGACACTTGTATCACACCCAGATATATACACTGTAACAAGACACATTTGATATACACAGACACTTGAATCACATCCAGATATATACACTGTAACAAGACACATTTGATATACACAGACACAGACACTTGTATCACACCCAGATATATACACTGTAACAAGACACATTTGATATACACAGACACTTGAATCACATCCAGATATATACACTGTAACAAGACAAATGTGATATACACTGACACAGACACTTGTATCACACCCAGAGATATATACACTGTAACTAGACACATGTGATATACACAAACACAGACACTTGTATCACACCCAGATATATACACTGTAACAAGACAAATGTGATATACACAGACACAGACACTTGTATCACACCCAGAGATATATACACTGTAACTAGACACATGTGATATACACAGACAGACACTTGTATCACACCCAGATATATACACTGTAACAAGACACATGTGATATACACTGACACAGACTGAGACATATATCACACCCAGATATAAACACTGTAACAAGACACACGAGATATACACAGACACAGACACTTGTATCACACCCAGATATATACACTGTAACAAGACACACGAGATATACACAGACACAGACACTTGTATCACACCCAGATATATACACTGTAACAAGACACACGAGATATACACTGACACAGACACTTGTATCACACCCAGATATATACACTGTAACAAGACACACGAGATATACACAAACACGGACACTTGTATCACACCCAGATATATACACTGCAACAAGACACACGAGATATACACAGACACGGACACTTGTATCACACCCAGATATATACACTGTAACAAGACACACGAGATATACACAGACACAGACACTTGTATCACACTCAGATATATACACTGTAACAAGACACACGACATATACACAGACACAGACACTTGTATCACACCCAGATAGATACACTGTAACAAGACACACGAGATATACACAGACACGGACACTTGTATCACACCCAGATATATACACTGTAACAAGACACACGAGATATACACAGACACAGACACTTGTATCACACCCAGATATATACACTGTAACAAGACACACGAGATATACACAGACACAGACACTTGTATCACACCCAGATATATACACTGTAAGAAGACACACGAGATATACACAGACACAGACACTTGTATCACACCAAGATATATACACTGTAAGAAGACACACGAGATATACACAGACACAGACACTTGTATCACACCCATATATATACACTGTAACAAGACACACGACATATACACAGACACGGACACTTGTATCACACCCAGATATATACACTGTAACAAGACACACGAGATATACACAGACACAGACACTTGTATCACACCCAGATATATACACTGTAACAAGACACACGAGATATACACAGACACGGACACTTGTATCACACCCAGATATATACACTGTAACAAGACACACGAGATATACACAGACACGGACACTTGTATCACACCCAGATATATACACTGTAACAAGACACACGAGATATACACAGACACCGACACTTGTATCACACCCAGATATATACACTGTAACAAGACACACGAGATATACACAGACACAGACACTTGTATCACACCCAGATATATACACTGTAACAAGACACACGAGATATACACAGACACAGACACTTGTATCACACCCAGATATATACACTGTAAGAAGACACACGAGATATACACAGACACAGACACTTGTATCACACCCAGATATATACACTTTTACAAGACACACGAGATATACACAGACACAGACACTTGTATCACACCCATATATATACACTGTAACAAGACACACGACATATACACAGACACGGACACTTGTATCACACCCAGATATATACACTGTAACAAGACACACGAGATATACACAGACACAGACACTTGTATCACACCCAGATATATACACTGTAACAAGACACACGAGATATACACAGACACGGACACTTGTATCACACCCAGATATATACACTGTAACAAGACACACGAGATATACACAGACACAGACACTTGTATCACACCCAGATATATACACTGTAACAAGACACACGAGATATACACAGACACAGACACTTGTATCACACCCAGATATATACACTGTAACAAGACACACGAGATATACACAGACACAGACACTTGTATCACACCCAGATATATACACTGTAAGAAGACACACGAGATATACACAGACACAGACACTTGTGTCACACCCAGATATATACACTGTAACAAGACACACGACATATACACAGACACGGACACTTGTATCACACCCAGATATATACACTGTAACAAGACACACGAGATATACACAGACACAGACACTTGTATCACACCCAGATATATACACTGTAACAAGACACACGAGATATACACAGACACAGACACTTGTATCACACCCAGATATATACACTGTAACAAGACACACGAGATATACACAGACACAGACACTTGTATCACACCCAGATATATACACTGTAACAAGACACACGAGATATACACAGACACAGTAACTTGTATCACACCCAGATACAGTTTAGCTAGACACATACAGACATTTCAACCAATCGACGACATTGAGTTACATTTTGGCTGGACCAACAAGT